TTCATAATTCATAATTTTATTTCACTCAAAATGTAATGAGACTGGTTAGGCAAAAAGGAACATGTCCCTGTACAAGACACCTTCCAGAGAAACAATGATAATGTTAATGGCAAAGACAATAATAATAATAATAATAATAATAATAATAATAATAATAACAATAATAATAATAATACAGATAATAAATAATAATAAATAAATAATAATAAAAAGTAAATGATAATAATAATAATGAATGAAGATCAAAATATATCATTGAAGTGAATTCAGTTATTTATTAAAACAAGATTTGGAGGGCCGGACTGTCATGAAGGTGTTGTATTAATGATGTTCTAAATATTTGCCTTTATCATATCAATAATTGATTAGGTCTAGCTTAGCCTATATTATTGTTAACATTATTATATTTGTTTAACAATTAGTATAATTATTTCTAATTAAATTATTAAATGTATACAATAAATATTATATAGGCCTAGGCATATACATAAAACAAAAAATAAACAAAAAATAAACAAATAATAATAATAATAATAATAACAATAATAATAATAATAATAATAATAATAATAATTTTACGATAGTTTGATTAATGAAATAGTAATAATCAGCATATTAAATAAAATTACGTCCATGCAAAACCTGCTTTTAAATAAAAACATTATCTATTTGATTCTGTTTTAAAAAATAATCTTATAAATTATAAGTTTATTTTCTGCGATAATTTTATCCACATATGCATATTCATGATTTCAATGTTAATATGGTTGATAAATAATATATATAAAAAAATAAATAAATAATAATAATAATAATAAAGGTGCTCGAATAATGCTTTAGTGAATAATTGATAATACTTCAATAGTGCTTCAATAGGCCTATTTACGATAGTGTGATTAATGATATAATTGTTGATTAATTCATAGAAATATAATAGGTAGGCCTATATACCATTAACAGGGATGTCACCAGCTTTTTGAAGTGCCGGTCGGCGATCATTCCGCGTTTTCCCGGGGGTGGGGGTGCCACATTCCCGTTTTCCCGGGGGTGGGGTAGTCGCCGTATTTGTGAAAGCTCTTAAAAACCAAAAGGCATAAGTAAGTCCAGCAGGCCTAGGCCCAAGGCTAGCTGACGCGATTTTTTTTGGCTAGGCCCAGGTAGGCCTAGGCCAGAATTTGAGGAATGCAACAAAACAGATGAAGATGAGACTTACTGTAGGCCTAATTAAATTCAATAGTTGACATGCTTTGTTTTAGATTAAAAAATAATAATGAACAAATCCCGGCGACAAAGCGTCGATCCGACTGTACCCAGCCGCATTGTTGTTGGCCGTAATTTCACATGTTTGATGACTACCACGATGAATGTGTATGTCACTGATTCATGTGCACTCATTTATTTATTTTTTGTCCATTTACACACATTATATATCAATTATAATTAAAAGTGAAAAACTTAAAATACAAAATGAAAACAAAGTAAAGAAATAAAACATAAATCAGGTTTCGTAAATTTTTAATAATCTTCCTGCCCCGGACGCGTATTTTTTTTCTGCAGTACACATAAGCAAATATATGTTTCTTTTAGCCAATCAGAATGTAGGAAGCCTAAAATGACGTCAGATAACTATTGAATAATTAATCAGACGTCAGACACAAC